TATATATATATATATATATATCAAATAATAATGTTGTAGAAAATTAAGTAAATAAATATTTAAGTATTTTTAAAGAAAGTCAAAAAAACTATATAGAAATGGCGTCTGAACTCTGATGGTTATTTTGATGTTTGAACTTTGAACAATCAAACTTTGATATTTCTATGTGGGCGGTGTAAACACTAATGAAATTGTTTGCTGGTCAATAATATTATAATAATTGAAGTTAACGTGCCTAATTGTGTGCTTGATAGAAATTAATCTTTATATTTACAATATTATTTTTACTATTTTAATATAATAATGTCCAAATCAAATACAAATATTAATATATGGAAAAAGAATACTTTTTTTTTTTTTGATAACCCAGGTGTCCCAGCTTCGCCGGACTAAATCCTGGACCCCTAGCCCCCGGCCCCTTAGTGACTAGTGGAGGTAAATCGCGGTATATGCCCAAGTTGACCAGGGTCCGTGCATCCTTTATACTCCTGGCCCCAAGGGAGCCTTCCTCCATGATTATTATATCACCAAGCTGCTCCAACCAAGAATGGTTATTACATCACTTAGCTGCTCCAACCAGGAATTGAACTCCCCACGCTGGGATTGCGAGCCCCGCAATGCCCGTCCTTTGCCAACTTGGATGTGCCCCGGGAGGCGAAAAAAAAAAAAAAGAATACTTTTTTTCACCATACATTAATCATCAACAAGTAAAATTATACTCTCGAGTCTCGACTGTACCCAATCAAATATATGTCAATTTAAAATTTGTTAAATTATATTTTAGAAATTACTACAATAGATTTTGTAGGATATGAAAAAAAATTAGAAGATATATAATATATATTTAGTACGAACACTTTATATTTATGCTGTTAAATATTCAATTTAATACACAATTTTCTTGAATGAAAATTAAGTAATTACTTGTTATTTAGTATCAGATCTTCTTAAAGAAAACATTTATGATAAAAATTATAGTGCAAAATAAGGTTCTGTTCACAACAACAGTGTAAAATTGGGCCTAAGGCTATTTTTAGCATTGCGCCAAATTTTGCACTAAATCTTGCACCAAATTAAAATTCGTCTCCAACTATTACACCAAATAAACAGTATTTAACAATTTTCTTTCCCTTTTTATTCTTTATAATATATTTATTTGAAATACTATTTATTTAATTATTTTATGAATGCATAAATTACTAAATGAATTACGTTAAATTACGGAAAATATTGAATTCATTAATAAATCATGTTTGTTATATTTTAAATTTTTTTCTTCTTTTAATTAATTTATCAATTATTATTGCTTACATTTTAAATGCAAATAATAATAATAATAATAATAATAATAATAATAATAATAATATAGAGAAATGTTATTTGGCCAAGGTCCGTGCAAATGACCCTTACCAAATAGCATTTCTCTGATAATAATAATAATAATTTATTATGTTAAAAAATATATAGCACAAATGACATAAATACCGTTAATCAATTTATTTGAAAAGGAAAATCAAGGATAAAAATGATTTTGACACTTGCAGCATTTTGGTGCAAAATGGTGCAAAGTTTGATGTTACATTGGAGGTGTTTTGCACCATTTTTTGTGTATTTTAGTGTTTTGGGGGTAAGCATTGAAGATGTCCTAAATTTAGTCCAAGTTTGATTTAGATAAAAATTAAATTTTTTAATAGATTTTGATGAAAATAGAGAGAATTTGTGGTTAAAATTCATTGTTGATTTTTTCGTTAAATTTTTAATCTAATTTTTAAACTAAACCAAACGCGAAAGTAAATATTAATCTCTAGCGTTAAAATGGTAGTGGGCATGAAGTGAAGTGATCTTAGTGATATTGTTAGTGCTAGAGCATTAGTTTGATTGACAATTAAATGAATGATAATGAGACTCACTTGATAGTATTTATCATGTAATGTCAATTCGGCTACTCTGTTTAGCATCAGTAATATTAAATAGCCACGTTTTGATCGATCGGGCACATATCCAAAAAAGTGTGTCAACTACGAATTGGAGTCAAATCAGAAATTAAAGTATTAAAATTGATTATAGACATTTATACCATTTAAAATTTCAATAATGAAAAATGAATATGATAGTGTAATTGAAATATTCAGCCTTGCTCCCTGTCTCGGCTGGGGGATAGGGGCACCACTGTCTTCAACCCTGTCCCCCAAGTCGGGATAGGGGGCTTTATTATGGAATATTTGAGTTCTAAAATTATCAAATTTGACCTATTCTAGTTTTGACCAGTATCTCATTGGCTACAAAAACTCATTTTAAAATTTAGCTGAATACGTATGTTTGGCCTCATTTTTTTAAAATTCATTTTCAACTAAACATACTTTATAAGATAATATTACACATCAATTGAAAATTATTCCTTATTTTTTAACCACATTCTCCAACAAAAGACTATTTCAAAATTTATTTTCTTCAAAATTTCCATTAAAATGAAGCCCAAATGAAGGCTTAAGATATGGAAGTGAATAATATTAAGATTTTAGGTTCTTTTCTACCTTCTTAAATTTGAAGAATTATTATATTCATTTGACCAAAAAAAAAAAAAATTTAATTTGGTTTTGATTATTACGCGACAGTCCGTACTTCGACTTTATTTGAGGTAAACATTATAAATTTTTTACAATAAATTAATAACACATTTTGTGGGAAATTTCAATGCTAATAACTTGAAACCGGCCTACAAATAAATTTTACGGAATATATACATTTTGTGCTTCTTTATAATTATTTGAAAAACCCGCACAATTAACAAGATCAACTTTCATTGCTATTGCTAATTTGCAACACACACATTATTAAATATAAAATCATGCATTGATTATAAATTACGGGGTGTAATCAACTAAAATTTTGATTGATTTTAAAAAATTATAAATTTTAATATATTCCCTCAAATTCCATAAAAAATCTCATTTAAAATGGTGAAATTTTAAAGATTTTGTTATAGGCATTTTTAAGCTTAAAATCTATCTATATCTTTTAAAAATCTCGCTGTTAATGAACTCTTTATACATCCACTAATCATGTATGATGTTTGACCTTTATTGTCCTAGCTTTGAATTCCGTGAGCATTCCAGACTGTACCATTGTTGGAAGAAATGCTCATTGCTTTTTTTGTTGTTGCAAGAACTAAACCAAGTGATCGAAAGATAGTACATAAGGGCACCTCAATAGACCAGAAAACGGAGTTACAGATCCTGATGGACATGTGATGAATGTGAGAGCATCTGCCCCATAAGCCTATATGTTGAAGAATGGGAGGGTAGAGAACAGCACAAGGCCCTAGGTTGACTTGCGACCAAGACTCCTTACCACTCGTGCCACTATGCTTGGGAGGAGTATTTCAATTTTAAGTAGGACTTATAAAGCTAGTGTTTGTCTTTCTTGGAAAGCACAATCAAGATCAGCATGAGCGGGGGGCTGAAAAAGACGAAGAAGAGCTTTTTTAATCCAAATGGTCGCCGGTTGAAAATCGACTTATCTACTTTAGCATTTATCTGCCACATA